GCCTGGCAAGTTCCCGCCAGTGACTTCTTGTCTGGGCTCAGGTCCTCTGGTCCTGCACACAGATCTGTGCCCAGCCTTCGTGTGGCGCCTTGGCCTGGCCCTGTCCCCAGGAGGCAGGTCTGTCCCATCTTCTCTGGGTCCTCGTGGCCTGGGATGGGCTGGCTGCCTTAGGCCCATGTACACTGTGCTGTTTCTTCAGGAAACCTGAGGACTGAGCGAGTCTGAGTAGGGGCTGGGGTCCCCTCGGCTCCAGTGGGGCTGTGCAGGGCGGCCTGAGGCGGTGTTTAAAGGTGCCGTTGGACCTGGTGAGGAGGCCTGGGCATCTGGGCACAGCTCCCAGTTTGGGACTTGCCCCATCCAGGGCCTCCCAGAGGTTGGGGCCACCTCCCTTGCCCCTCGTCCACTCGCGCCTGAGTCTGCTCTTGGTCAGGAGTGAACCACTCCCTGGGCCTTCACCGGACGTGGCCCAGGCAGGCTGCCTGTCCTCACCCCCGGGTCTGGGGTGCAGAGTGCAGCATCCACTGTGGGGCCTCAGGAGGGGCTTGTGTTTGTCAGCTCCTGTGACCAGGGTGGGCTGGGTGCTTGTGCTCATGTGTGCACCTTTGGGAGCTGATCTGCCTGTCCTCACATGCACACCCATGCCCCTGGCTGCCAGGCTGTGTAGCCGACGGCGCCTGGGCTGGGCCCGTCTCACCCTGCAGCCTAAGAAGCAGACCCGGTGGGCGGGGGCACCCTGTGTACAGTGTTGGGGGCTATGTGGACCTGCCGTGGGAAGTGGCCATGGGACGCTCACGGGGGAAGGAGTGTGGGTGTGCAGGGTCGGCCTTCCAAGCCCTTGGAGGGCGGGGGAGCCCCGGCAGACTGGGTGAGCAGACCCTGCAGGCCAAGCAGGGCACACACCACACTCATCCCTGGCTTCCCAGGGAGAGCCTCCCTCGGTCTTGCCCAGACCCTGGCGTCCCCTCCTCCTGGGCATCTGGGCACGGCAGGGCACCTCGCCGGCCTCACCAGCCTCGGGCTGGGACTTGACAGCTGCCCCCCAACCCCAGGCCCCAGACACGTGGACAGCTTTTCTTTTTATACCTACTTTTGTGGTATGCGTGTCTGTCTCCCCATTACCACTGCTATTCATTGAAAATGTTATCTCCCCCCACCCGTTCTTCGTGCCCCCCGGGGGGGTGGGGGGCCCAGCCCTCACCCTGGTGTAGTCAAGGTTATGGTGATAAATCCTGGGGCATTGTCACTTCTATTCGGAGTAAATTGGCTGGCCGCTTTCGGGCTGAAGGAAAGATAATTTGCTGTAGTATTTCAAATGGATTAGAAATGGATTTGAAGGGAAAGTTCATGCCTCCCATTACAAAGGCGAGAAAGAGGACTATCTTAAGGCCCGGTTCCCTCCCTGGCCTTCATTATCCACGCTTAATACCTTTCCTATTTTCCAGCGTTAATGAAATTTCCTGGCGGCGTGGGCCTGCCGGACGGATGGGAGAAGCCTTTAGATCTGAGCCTCCTGTTGTAGAAAAGGAATTACAGGGCCCTCGCCGCGAGGGCAGGAGCGTTCTCCGGGTCCTTGGCCCGGCTATTATCTCATTAATTTTATCCCCTCTTCTCAATACAGTTGGTTTCCAGAGCCTGTCCTCTCCATTAGGGAACAATTGACCGGAGCTCTGTGACACCCACGGCAACGAAAAGCTACAAGGCGGCCCCTTGCCAGCCCGGCGCCCGCCCGGCCCAGGTCCCGAGTCAGCGAGCGGGCCCAGCAGGGGTGAGGGAAGGGCGGAGGAGGCCTGTGCCGCTGCAGGCTGGGCAGGTGGGCCCTTCTGCAGCCCTGGCCCGCCCTGCCCAAGTTCTGTGGGTACATCCACCTCCTCCAGATAGCCCCGTGGCACCACCGGGGTCCACAGCCCCACACCCTCGGGCACGCGGGGTCCCTCAGGCAGGTGCGTGTGCATGGGCCGCAAACGCTGGGCCAGGCGTGAGAAGAGCTGCTAGGCCTCCGAACTGCCCCCATCCCCTCCCCGGTGGCCGACCACTGTCCTGTAATTGCCTTAAAACCCAGGGGTATGGTTTTTGGTGGGAGAAGAGGACAGATCTGTTAGTCCTGTTCATCCACAAAAGTAACTGTGGGAATAATCAACAAGGTGCAGGGAAAGAGATGTCACCTGAGATGCGCCTCTTAGCCAAAAAAATAAATCATGAAAGGGACTTCTCTGAAGGAGGGTGTTGGCTATGTCTGGCCCTAGTGCCTAGCCTGGGAGCCAGGAGGGCGTCCCCGGGGCTCGCTCTTCAGGGTGAGCTGGTAACAGCCCCAGACTGAGGCTCCTCGGTGCACGGAGCCGTGGGATGGGCCTGGATGGGACCACCCTCGGGGCTGGAACATAATCTGTCCTGAAGCTTCTAGCTCCTTCTGAACCAAGATCCTGCTGTCCTCCACCTCCGCAGGTCCCTGTCTGGGCCTGGCCACCTCTTTCTGCAGCTTCACCTGTGTGGCTGCCCCTGGGAATGGTGGTCTGTCCCTGTCTGGCCTCAGCCAGGGGCACATGCCCACAAGTAAGCTTCCTCACCCCTCGAAGGGCTGGGTTTCTGGGGATGTGGGGTCCTGAGATGCTGGGCCCAGGTGGGTAGGTGGGGCGCAGGTCTGGTTGCCCACCTGTCCTCGTGCTTTGTAGTGCCCTGGGTGTGGATGGGGGGTGGGTAGGGGTGGTGGCCCAGGAGGGGAGGGTCCGTGCCCCAAGGGAAGAGGCAGCTAAGAGTGGTGTCCTAGGTCCTGTAAGCGGCTGCTGCATCATCTCGCTGCAGGGCCTGTTGGGAGGTCTGGGGTCTGGTCCTGAGGGACAAGTGTCTTATAGGCATGGGCCGGGCTTGCTGCCGGTCACTCAACTTCCCAGGGCTGCAGGAGTGGAGGCTGCCCAGGGCTGGCCCTGGCCCAAGTGGGCATATGAAGGGGCAGCTGCCTTGTCGGTGGGGAGACCGCTGAGGGCTCTGGACACCATGGGGCTGGGGCTGTAGGGGGCCTGTTGCCCTCTGGCTGAGCGAGCTGTGGCGGCCCCCAGCCCTAGGCTCAGCTCTCAGCTGTGGGGATTAGGACTCAGGCCAAGCTGTGCCCTGTGCACAGTGACCACAGTCCCCGCAGGGGGCTCACAGGGTGTTCTGCAGCAGGACCAGCACAGAAGAGGCCCCCGCCTGGCCCCACCCTCCTCACACTTTGGCCTGGCCTCTGAGTGAGCCAAGGGGACAAGGCAGGTGCTCACCGGACACATAGATGCCCTGGGACCAGGGTTTGGGGAAAATCTGGAAGTCTGTCTGCCCCCCCAGAGGATCGCTGCCCACCCCACCCTCTTCCTGCCAAGATGCGCCCTGTGTGGGGACAGCTGGAGTCTGTAGGGCGCAGATAGCATGAGCCAGGCCGGCTGGGGCCCCTTGGCAGGACTTTTCCCCAAGATTGGTGTTTGTGAACTTGAATTTTAATTAAGGGAAACTGGGTTAAGTGCTGTTGGGCTGTGGCGTCGTCCTCGGCACTCCCCGCCTGGCCTTTGTCCTTACACTGCAGCTTTGGGTCCCCTGAGCACCCGGCTCACTCATGCACGGTCTCTAGCGTGCCCTCAGAGGCTTGCGCTGGCAAGAGTCACCCCCACTTGCAAGAGACGAAGGCCGAGGCGGCCTCGGGGCCAAGTGGTTGGGGCGGCCACTGCACGCCAGAGTGGGGCTGCTCGAGCCCTAGCACTCAGCTCCGGGCGTGTCCATTGTGGGTGGCCCCCCACCTCCAGCAGCCCATGTGCCAGGATGCCCCGAGACCTGCCCTGTGCCTGGGGGCCCAGGCCAGAGTCTGCCACTGCCCCAGACGGAGATGGGGGTCTGTGTGCTCCCTGAGGGAGGGGGCTGCAGGGCCATGGGGAGAACCCCGCTTCAGCCAGGTCCCCGCGGCCGGTGGTGGTCCCTGCAGTAAGGACTGCTACCCTCACGCCCGGCCCCTCCTGCTGCTTGGAGGCATTAGCACTCAGGCCCAGATTTGCCGGTGGGGTGCGGTATGCACACTCGATGGTAATAGCATTACGGCCAGAGTCTGAGCTAACACGGAATTAAGGTCAATTTGCATAAACAAATTACTGCTGAAATGCGTCGTGAGGGGGAAAGGCCCCATGCCCTTCTGGAGTCATGAAGCTGGCTAGTCTCCATGCCAGCCGCCCTGAGTGGGAGGGCCTTGTCCCCTCATTTCGGTGGCAGCCTGCCCATGTGACAGCTGGGGGGAGCGGGTCAGCCAGGACAGCTGCAGGCCCCCAGTTGGTGCTGGTCTGGGGGCCCACAGCCACTGCCCATTGCAGCCGTGGTGTCTTCAGGGGACGTCTCTCGAAGTGGGGGCATGTGGGGCCTCCTCCTGACCCACTCTGGTCTGGCCAAGATAGGGCCCAGGAGCTGGTCGGAGGAGAATCTGGAGGGAGGGAGTGGGCAAGTGGCCACTGGGGCTGTGCAGGCCCAGGTCTGCCTTCCCGGCCTGGATCATCCACTCAGCTAACCCCAAAGGCTGTCCCAGGCCTCCTCCAGCCCAGGACTTTAAGGCACCTCCAGTCTTTCCCCCAGACAGCTTGCCCGGTTGGGGGTCTGTGAGGCCGTCCCCTCCTACTCTCCATGCTGGTCTCCTGTGTGGTGAACAGAGGGGACAGGAGGAGAGCCTGCTGACCCAAAGGCCTGGGGGGCGTGCGCTGGGGCAGCATCTGGGGGAAGATGTTCCCGGGCAGTGGTGATGACCACCAGCCACGGTGTGGACCCTCAGGGGACTTGCCCGTGCACTGGAGCTCCCTCCAGACGCCCTGCCAGAAGGCCGGGGCCTGGACAGTCTCATCCCAGGGGTGTACGTGCTGGAAGGGGGAGGCTTGTCCCCCACCCGTGCCCTTTCAGCCCGGCTAGTGGGGTTGAGGGTCCCCTTCGCCTGCAGGGGTGTGGAGGAGGACAGACTGTGGGCCCGTGGGGCTGGACACACCGGAGTTTCCCTGTCTCCGCAGGTCTCTGGTGCTGAACCGCCTGCGCCCCACTGCCGGGGGTGGGAAAGCCCAGCCCAGCTCTTCTCGGTGGCGGAATAAAGGCTACCGCTGCATCGGGGGCGTCCTGTACAAGGTGTCAGCCAACAAGCTCTCTAAGACCTACGGCCGGCCCGGCGACAGCGGCAGCAGGCCCCTCCTGCGCACAGGTGAGGGTGGGCCCCTAACTCCCCAGCCTGTGTTGTCAGTGGTGGGCGGGGGCGGAGGCTAGCCGGTGAGACCGAGGCAGGCGGGCCTGGGGCTCCCATGGAGCAGATGCAAGTGAGTGCTTCCCAAAGGGGCCCATGCCAGGAGGGGAGTCTGTGTTCCTGTTCAGAGCTTACGGAGCCTCCGTGGCTGTCCCCGTCGAAGCTGACGGGCAGCTGGAGCAGGCAGGGCACGGAGGGGGAGGCCTTGCAGCCTCTGCGTCCCCAGGGAAGGCCCCCCCACCCCTGAGCGCACTGCCTCTCGCTTGGCTGAGCAGGCCCTGATTTTCCGTGTTTTGCTCCTGGACAAAGGAGATGAGCCAGGTATGGTAAACACGGCCCTGGCAAGTGAACACCTGGGGCCGCGGCACCCCCTAATCTCATTGGCAATGCCTCCCAACTGTGTCTGGAGGCAGCCGCTGCCACCTCACGCGCCCCCGCGGCCTGGGGAAACAGGCCGAGGAGAAGGAAATGCTTTGGATTCGCTTATTATACAAATTAACTAGAAAATATTTTGGTTTCAGTCCAATTTTACCCCCATCCTTTTCTGTTAGGAAAAAAAGGGTGAGGTTGCAGGCAGTATGGGGACTGCAGAGGCCCAGCTGCTCCCAGACCCTGCCCCGCCCACCCAAAGGGGCAGGAGGGAGAAGAGGCGGGCACTGGGGCCATCTGTAGGTTGGGGGGCCCCTTCCCGGAAGCCCTTGCCCAGCTGTGTCCCCAGGGCCTCTGTCTGTGGAACTGTGGGGAGGGAGGCATGGGTGCCTGGCTGCCTTTTTCCAGACGGGGTATACGGGGCTCCCTAGGAGAGGCACTAGGGGGCCCGAAGGCCATGGCTGTGCTCTGCATCTGCGCCTCATTTTCCCCATCCCTTTCTCGAGGGATTAGGCTGTGTGATCCAAGGGCCTTTCTGCCTTGGCCTCAGCTAGCTTGCCAGTGGAGGAGCAGGTCCAGAGCATTGGCTGGGCCTCCTTACGGGGCCTGCGTGAGGCTCAGCCCTCCCCCCACTCTGAGCCTCTGACCCCCAGGGTTCAGCAGGCCCCTGGCATCGGTGTTCATGGTCCGTGAGGCCCCACACAGGGCTGTTGGTCCTTTGCCGAGCAGTCCCTAGGCAGGCTGGTTGTGGAGTGGGTGGAGCCATGGAGGGCTTCTGGGCAGCCTCTCTGCAAAGTGATGTTCTGCCGGCCCCGACGGATGAGGCTTCTCTCTGGGTCACACCCACTGGCCCCAGCCTCCCGCTGGGCCTCCTTAGTGAAAGGCCCTGGCTGGCCTTTCCGATCTATCATCCTTTCTGCCCCCGACTGTCACCCCTGACCCCACAGCCGACCCAGCAGGCAGGACCCAGGCTCTGTTCCCTGCTGTCCTCCTTTGGGAGCTGGATGGAGCTTACTGGGGGGCGCCCATTCTGCTGACATTTCCTCAGCCAAGCATGTCGCCGGGCCACGCCCCTCGAGCACCCTGCCGTCCTGTCCGCCCCAGCCTGCTGTGTGCTGCTTATTCGCATCAGGTCTGAGGGACTCCTCCCTGGCCTGGCCAGATGTCATTGGCCGTCCTGGCACTCACACTGTCCACATGCAGGGACCCGGAAGTGGATTATGGTTTGGGGCCATCCTGGCCCTTGCCAGGACCCTGCTGCTCATACGTCCTGGGCTGCACGGGGGCCCCTCCACATGGACCCTGATCTCCGGTGGGCTGGATGGGGTATACCTACCACCTGGCCCTTTAAGTCCACGGTGGGAGGAGAGGCACCCCGAGACAGAGAGGAAGAGGCGGGTGCGAACTGCTTGGCAGCTGCTCGAGGGGAGGGTACGAGAGAGGAGAGCCCGAGCTCCTGGGAGAGCCCAGGCTGCGCTCGCTGCCGCCTTGGGGCAGTAAAGCCGGCGGAGAAAGGGGCCAGCGTTAGGGGCTGTGGGGCGCTCCGTCCCCTCTCCGCAGCACAGGCCTCACCGCACCTGAGCAGGCAGCTGTCCCACGTCTCACTGGGGAGGACACCTTGCCAAGCCCGCTCCCCTGCAGGTGCTGACCTCCACGCAGTGGCGCCTTCCCCCTTCTATCAAGTGCGATGCTGTGCACGCTGCCCCCCCCCCCCCGCCCCCGCCGCCTCCGGCCCCACCTCCCCCAGCCTCCTGGCCTCGGGCAGTACAGGGAGGACAGAGGCCTCCAGGGCCAGGCAGGTTCCCGGGAGGCCCCACTCCTCGTCGCTGCTGGGGGGCAGTCCTGGGGCTCAGCCCTCCCAACTTCAGGGCAGGCTGGGGCAGGTAGGTGGGATTGGGAACACAGACCGTTGGGTGGCCTGTCCCAGGTATGAGGCAGAGCCAGAGACCACCCCCCACCTCCAGATCCAGCTTCCCAGACCCGCGTAAGGGTGCCCTACTCCTTGCTATGAGGAAGGTGGGGTGTTCCCAGTTGCGGGAGTGCCCACTGACCAGCGGCCTCCTTAGATGAATAATTTTTTTTTTTTTAAGATTTTATTTATTTATTTGAGACAGAGAGAATGAGAGAGAGAGAGAGAGCACATGAGAGGGGGGAGGGTCAGAGGGAGAAGCAGACCCCTCGCTGAGCAGGGAGCCCGATGTGGGACTCGATCCCGGGACTCCAGGATCGTGACCTGAGCCGAAGGCAGTCGCTTAACCAACTGAGCCACCCAGGCGCCCAGATGAATAATTTTTAAAGGAATAAATCTTCTCCTTTGGTGTCAGCAGAACTTTGACTTCGGCAGGAAAGTACAGCCAGACCCTCTTCGGGGGTGGGGGCTCACCTCCTCTCCTCCTGGCTTTTCCTCCTGGCTGCTGGGCTTCTCTGCGACAGTGTCAGCCCCTGTGTTGGGGTATCCGAGCCATGGGTAGGTGGGTGGCAGGGAGAGAAGTGCAGAGCCTCGTCCCCACCCTCCTCCCGGCCCTGCGACCTCTCCCTGTGTGCACCCAGGTATGGGCCGTGACACATGTTCCATGGGACCAGGCATCTGTCGCGGTCCCTACCGTGGAGCAGAAGCCCCAAGTCCATCTGCCAGAACCACCTCCCCCAGCCTGGGCTACAGGCCTGGCCCCCAGGCCCCGGAGTGGGGCGGATTTGTGGTCCCTGCTACTCATTGGCCATGGCACACCCCCTAGGCAGGTCATGGGTCCCTGTGCCTCGTCTCCTTGTCTGTGACCTGCTGACCCCACCCTGTGTGCTGGGAAGTCACACAGAACAGCATGAGAGGACGCGAGAGAGGGCCCCCGAACCGCGCACTCAAGGCCCCACCCTGCTGCCTCCCTCCCTTCCTGAAGCCTCTTCCTGGGGCTCCCTCTGCCCAGGGCCATGATTTCCTGGGAGGGGTGAGTCCCGCTGGGGCGCGGCGGGGCTGCAGACCTGCCCAGCTGCTCCTTCTGACCCCAGAGCCCCTGATTTGGGCTCCCCGGCCTGGGGAGGGTGAGGCACTCCCTGGCGGGGACTGGTGGGGCGGGGCGGGGCCGCCCGAGCCAAGCTCACGGTGTCTATTTTGGGAAGATCCCCGGGCAGCGCAAGCTCTCTGAAGGCTTGGCGCCTCCTGCTCGGTGGCTGCCGAGGGTTTTCAGCTGAACCCTGTAGCACCCCTCAGCACCTCGCGGCCTCTTTTCCAGCCAGCTACTTTATGTGCATTTTTTAACACCGCACAGCCGCTGAACGCTGCCTCCCACTGCGAGCCCCACACTGGCGTTTTTTAAGAGCAAATGGTGGGGGGGCGGCGAGGGGAGTGAACCCGCCCTGCCCCCTCAGAGGCCAGGCCTGGGGCCCAAGTCTGACAGGCAGACACATGTTGACAGCGGGCCCTGGTGGGAGCAGATGCGCCCCAGCGGCGCCGGCAGCCCTGGCGACAGCCGGAAGCCGTGCTCGCGGGCCGCGATCTGGTGACACTCTGTCAACCCCAGGCTGGCAGGCGTGCGGCACCACGTGCCACCTGGACCGGCCTCTGACGTGGACCCCCGGTCAGTGTCCCCAGCTTGGGAGCCAGGACGCCGCTGCCCTGCCCAGCTCCTCCCTGGCCCACCCCCCACCCCTGCACCAAAACCAGCCCCGTTTGTGTCTCGGTCGCCTGGGCCATGGCCACCGGGCGGGGCACCTCCTTCCCATTGGGGGTCTCGCCGCTCAGCCCTGGAGCCACTCCTTCTCAGCTTGAGGACACTGAGGCTCAGGGGCAGACGCTGGCCCGAGGGCGGGAGCCCGAAGAGGGACTCTGCAGTAGGCTAGATGTGGAGAAGAGTGCCTGAAGGTCAGCCTGGGGGGCACGGGGGAACTTGGACGTGGACAGGCTGCATAAAGTGTCAGAATGCTTGTGTGACCAGTTCTGGAACTCAGGAGAGGGGACCGAGCTGCCTGGGTCCTGGCAAAGGTCGTCCTGGGGAGGTCGAGGGAGGGGCCTCCAGGTGGCAGGAGGGCCACCTGCCCGGGCCTCCCATGCAGCTCCGATGGGGGCGGCTCAGGGCCAGGCAGCTTGGGGACATCCCTTTTTAAGCCTGGGATGCTTTGTCCTTGCCTCAGGTCCCTAGAATTTCTGAGTGATGTCACTTCTGCCTCTTACCAGCAGATCCATTTCAGCAGCTGCCTGTGGGAAATTGAATCTGGTCTGAGAAGGTTCATGTGTGTGTATGTGTGTGTGTGAGAGAGAGAGAGAGAGAGAGGAACCGTGGGCCTCCATGGCCGTCTGAGTAGCCTCTGGCCCCGACCTGCCCACCCTGGCTCTGGGGGGCGGTGACCTCGTGCCTAAAAGGGAGGCAGCAGGGTGCACGTTCGTCTGGACTCCCTCCCCTTTCTCACGCAGGACAAGCATTGCCCACTTGCCCCTTGTCCCCTGCTGCCCTAGCCCCCCCCCAACACCAACTGCCCTGGCTGTGGGCATCCTGTCACCTGTTCCCTTCTTGTGACCACTGTCCATTTCATGAACAGCTCCCCTTTGGGCCACAGTCAGTGACCTCACAGAGGACTTGATTGGTCTTTGTGCTTAGGGTTTTGAGGAATGGGTACCTGCCATGGCCAATGAGGGCCTCAGAGCCAGATGTGCTCGTCCGGGGCCTGTGGAGGCTAAGGTCGGCACGTAGGTCCCTGTAGAGCCTGGGGGCAAGGACCTCAGGCTTTGCAGCCATGTACTCGCTATGATGTTTTTGTCGAATAACCCTGTCAATACAGAAGAGTCATTACTGGCTACGACGAAGCCAGGGGGCATTCCTGGACCCCACTCAGGTCCCACATCCCTGGGCCCTGCTCCCAGCAGAGGGAGGTGGCAGGGAGGCCCCCCTCCCACCTGCCGGTCCCGGGACCACCTGCGTTGAGGCGAGGCTGCCAGCCAACTGCCAGATCTGGTCCCTGGACGGGCCGCTGCCCTGCACCAGGTGGGGGTTCAGCAGGGTCCCAGCAGGGTATGCAGCCCAGCCCGAAGGGAGGGCAGGGGGTTTCCCTTAGGGGGCAGCAGTGCCTGCACCGAGAGCGGGAACCCTGACAGGGCTGTGCAGAGCAGCTTGCTGGGCAGCAGGAGTGCCTGGGGGCCTGGGGGCCTGGGGGCTTGTGAGCCTGGGGGCCTGGGGGCTTGTGGGCCTGGGGGCCTGGGGGCCTGGGGCTTGTGGGCCTGCGGGCTTGTGGGCCTGGGGGCTTGTGGGCCTGTGGGCCTGGGGTCTGGGGGCCTGGGGGCTCGTGGGCCTGCGGGCTCGTGGGCATGGGGGCTCGTGAGCCTGTGGGCCTGGGGGCTCGTGGGCCTGTGGGCCTGGGGCCTGGGGCCTGGGGGCCTGGGGGCCTGGGGCCTGGGGGCTTGTGGGCCTGGGGGCTTGTGGGCCTGCGGGCTTGTGGGCCTGGGGGCCTGGGGGCCTGGGGCCTGGGGGCTCGTGGACCTGGGGGCTCGTGGGCCTGGGGGCTCGTGGGCCTGTGGGCCTGGGGGCTCGTGGGCCTGGGGGCCTGGGGGCTCGTGGGCCTGGGGGCCTGGGGGCTCGTGGGCCTGGGGGCCTGGGGGCTCGTGGGCCTGGGGGCCTGGGGGCCGGGGGCCTGGGGCCTGGGGGCCTGGGGGCTTGTGGGCCTGGGGGCTTGTGGGCCTGTGGGTCTGGGGGCCTGGGGGCTTATGGGCCTGGGGCCTGGGGGCTCGTGGGCCTGCGGGCTCGTGGGCATGGGGGCTCGTGAGCCTGTGGGCCTGGGGGCTCGTGGGCCTGTGGGCCTGGGGCCTGGGGCCTGGGGGCCTGGGGCCTGGGGGCTTGTGGGCCTGCGGGCTTGTGGGCCTGCGGGCTTGTGGGCCTGCGGGCTTGTGGGCCTGTGGGCCTGGGGTCTGGGGGCCTGGGGGCTTGTGGGCCTGGGGTCTGGGGGCCTGGGGCCTGTGGGCTCGTGGGCCTGGGGCCTGGGGGCCTGGGGGCTCGTGGGCCTGGGGGCCTGGGGGCCTGGGGGCCGGGGGCCTGGGGGCCTGGGGGCCTGGGGGCTCGTGGGCCTGGGGGCCTGGGGCCTGGGGGCTCGTGGGCCTGGGGTCTGGGGGCCTGGGGGCTCGTGGGCCTGCGGGCTCGTGGGCCTGGGGGCTCGTGGGCCTGGGGGCTCGTGGGCCTGGGGGCCTGGGGGCTCGTGGGCCTGCGGGCTCGTGGGCCTGCGGGCTCGTGGGCCTGCGGGCTCGTGGGCCTGGGGGCCTGGGGGCTCGTGGGCCTGGGGGCTCGTGGGCCTGGGGTCTGGGGGCCTGCGGGCTCGTGGGCCTGGGGGCCTGGGGGCCGGGGGCCTGGCATGATGTGGCCTCTCCCTATAGGCCGCGTGGACCCTACCAGCAGCTGCAGCCGCTCCCTGGCCAGGTACGTCCCTCAGGGTTGGGCCTGGGGCTCACGGGTGTGCGGGGGGGGGGGGCGTCAGGCTCACGAACGTCCACCCCCTTCCACAGCCGGGCCGTCCAGCGCAGCCTGGCCATTGTCCGGCAGGCGAGGCAGCGGCGGCGGAAGCAGGAGCAGGAGTACTGCATGTACTACAACCGCTTCGGCAGGTGCAACCACGGCCAGCACTGTCCCTACATCCACGACCCCGACAAGGTGGCCGTGTGCACCAGGTGCCCTTCACCCTGCCGGGCCTCGGGGGCTGGGGCTGGGGGCTGCAGGGGGCCGCGAGGGCGTCCTGTCCCTGGCGCCTGCAACCCTCTTCCCTCCTTTGCACAGGTTTCTCCGGGGCACGTGCAAGAAGACAGACGGGACGTGCCCCTTCTCCCACCACGTGTCCAAGGAGAAGGTGAGCTCCCCCAGGCACTTGGCCTCCCTGCAGGCCCCGCCCCCCGGGTCTCCCCCGGCCAGGGGGTGGGGGGGGCGGGCTGGCTGTGTGACCACCCCTGCCCCGTGCCCAGGGGCGGCGGGGTGAGGCAGGGCAGCGGAGGACAGGTGGGCGCGCCACGGGGCCCCTGTCTTGCAGGCCCCTCCCCTCGGCCACTGTGGGCACGGGGGACCCCCTCGCATGGGCGCCCACCGCGGGGGCAGAGCCGGGGCGGCGCTGGGGCCCGGGCATCAGCATGCCGGGAGCCTGGAGGTGAGGGCTCGGGCGGGCTGGGCTGCCTGCCACCCACCCCCCACTCTGGGGCCGCGGCAAGGTTAGGGGAGGCGGGATCGAGCCAAGGCTGCCGCTACAACAGCTTTTCCCCTTGAGGAACTTGAAAAGAATCAGCATTTTTCTCCCTAATAGAGCTTCGAAACTCTGTTGTGAGCAATTTGGAAATCCACGTCGAGTTTCGGGTTCATTAGCTCCAGCTCCGAAGCTGGTGCACGTTCTGAGCTGTCTAATGTGGACGCCCGCACGCGCGCCCTGAGTTAATGTTATTGTTATTTGTGTGGACGTGGTGGGTGCAAACAAGGTTAATTGAAATGAGAATGCAGTTCCCTCTCGATAACGGCCGTGCTGACAGCTAGGAGGAGTTCTGTTTGGTGTAAGAGTTGGCTTTATTATCCCTTTTTATTAGAGCTAATTTGGGCTCTATATCAAAAGCCACATTAAGGGAATTGTTTGCCAGCCCCAGACGGGCCAGCCCTTCTCCCCTGTGCGCTGCAGTTAAAAGACAATTAAAAATAAACTCTTGCACGTTAAATCACCCTTTGTTTCTTTGCTTTCTCCCTCATTCCCGCCCTGGCCTCCCCTCTGCCCTGCCCTGGGAGCCCCTGCATGGGGCCCCTGGCAGGCCGGCCGGAGCTCAGTGTGGAGGTGTGAGGAGCTGAGCCCTGGGGTGCCCGCCAGTGTAGACCCACCCAGGGACCAGGGGCTGCAGTGGGGTGCGTGAAGGGTGGGTCTGACAGAGGAGAGAGCGGGAGAGGCCAGCTCCCAGAGAAGCTCCTGCAGGGGTAACAGGCCTGGGGAAGGTGGGAGGCCCCCAGGGGGCTGACCAAGGAGGGGCCCCAGAGAGGAGTCGCCTGGCAAAATGGCAACTGCAGAGGTCAGGGTGGGCAAGATCAGAGACCCCTCCTTGCTGGCCCTCAGGCCTCAGCTTCTTCCAACAGGGAGAAAGGGGGCTGCATGTCTCTCCGTCTCCCAGTCTAGGGGCCAGGGACTGCTGTGCTGCATAACCCTGCCCAGGCCGCCCGCTCCACGTCCCCCTTCTTCCCCCCCAGGTCTTCCCTGGGCCCACCTGCTGGCGGCCAGGGCACTGGAGCCAGGTGTCCACAGTGCCAGCCTGGGGTCAGTGCAGCCCTGGGCTGCTCCCTGCCTACCCATGGTCCATCCCTAGGCTTCCCTGGGTAGAATCATGTCACCAGCCCATGGACACTGCCCGGTGTCCAGGCAGCTGGGAAATCGGCTGAATTTCTGGGCCCTGTAGGCTGTGCCCTACCTAGAGCCCCCATGCTCTGTCTCCCCCTTACCCCCCAGCCCCTGCTCCTCCAGACACCAACCCCTCCTGGCCTGTCCACTGTGGCCCTGCTGCCTGGAAACTGGGCAGTCTCAGAGCAGGTGACGGCACATGTGGAGGTCAGCCATCCTGCAGGGACGTCTTCACCTGGGCTGTTTGAGGGCATGTGTGTCCTGCCCAGACAACCTTGCCTTCTGGGGAAACTGAGGGTCTCCCTTTGGGGTGGGCAGCCCTCACCTGGCATGGCCCCAGGTGCTCATGGCTCCTGATGGCCCCCGTCCTGCTGTCCAGCACGGTGTGTCCGTTTCTCCCTTGGGGGGTCTCTGTGTGGCTCGTGCCTGGCCTCGGAGCCCCAGGCAGGTCCTTCAAGTCCAGGCTCCTGACGGAGGGCTGGAGGAGGCGGGGCCGTAGTAGCAGTGGGCAGACTGGGCCCACGCGCCGAAGGGAGCCAGGGGGTCTGCTGGCCCTCACCCCTGTCCCCTCGCCTCCGCAGATGCCTGTGTGCTCCTATTTCCTGAAGGGGATTTGCAGCAACAGCAACTGTCCCTACAGCCATGTCTACGTGTCCCGGAAGGCAGAGGTCTGCACGGACTTTCTCAAAGGCTACTGCCCACTGGGCGCAAAGGTGAGGGGCGCAGTGGGCAGCGGGCAGCACCCAGCCCCCAGCAGTGGGCCAGCCGTGCTGCTCAGGGCCTTCCTTGGAGTGCACCTCACCCCAGGGTGACGAGGGTGAGCGTGAAGCAGGCCGGCGTGAAGGGGATTGGGGGACTGGGGCGTGAGGGCTTGTCGCGGGCGCGTCATTGCCTCCTGTCGCCCTCGTCTGACAGCAAGCACGCTGCTGTGCTGGGGACTCCTGGCAGCTGAGCACACTGGTTCCTTCCCTTCCTCATTACCGTCCTGCTCGTCCCCACGTGGGCCTGCAGTCCACTGGGGAGACCGGAGCTGGGGCTCCCTGGGGACCCCCAGTGGGCGGGGCGGTGGGGCTGGGCCTGAGCAAGGGGAGCACGGTCAGTGCAGGGACAGCCCGAGGCCCCTGACAAACACCCCCCTCCCCCATTTCACACCGTGGGGCCCAGGCCCCTTCCTTCCCCATGTCCTCTCCCTCCAGGGGCTGGGCCCGGCCAGGCTTGGCAGACCTGGGGACCTGACCTGCAGCCAGCGGGTCGCCTTGAAGGATGCCCAGAGCCCTGGCGGCGGTGGTGGGGGAGGTGGGGGGGGTGGGGGGGGTGGGGGGGTGGCGGGGGCGGGACCCCCCACGGAGGCTGTGCGTGATTATTGTAAGATATTCCAATGTAAATGAAAATATCAAAGTGATATTTGAGTTCTGCTTCTATTAGTGGAAGTGCTTACTGCGTCCCTTTCGGCGTGTTGGGGCTGCGTGCCTGCCGCATGATGGATAGCGGCTTGTAATTATATATGGGGGAAAGCGCTGAGCAGGCCAGATCCAGTGGGGGGGGGGGCAGCCTGGGCCGGCGAGGGTTAATTTTATTCTCTAAATAATATAAAAAGTGCTGAGTCATCGCCTTGTGCCTGATGCCCAAGTCCTCAAACGGGCCCCAGAGAGTTTATAATATTCCACTGAATCAAGTGAAATTGTTAACCTTGCTTCATAAAGCCCTGGCTTGTTAAAGAGGCGCGCTCCCTTTTCTTGTGAATAATTTAGGCTGGGAGTGAGTCTCTGCTCCTTTCCCTCTTCGGGGGCCACATGGCTACTGCGGGACCTGCCGCTCTGAGGTCAGCCTCCGGCCCCCCCGGCCCCCGGCCCGTCTCCTCTCCTTCCCTCAGGAGCATCCCCTCTGTCCCTCGGCCGCTCGGGACCCGCGGGCAAGGACGGCCGTCCTTCCATGGGATGCCCGCCACCTCGGGGGGCCTGGCCCCCGGACGCCACCGTCCCAGCAGGGGCCGTCCTCCTCCGGTGTCTGCCGAGGTGCCTCTGCTGCCCCTCTCTGGCTAATGCGTGTTTGAGGGAGACACTTGGAGACTCCGGAGGCCCCCGTGCTCACCCGCTAGTTTTCATAGCCCCTGGCGATTCTTGTCTGACCCCTTCTCTTCCCTGGCACCCATTTCTCCCCGTTGAGGCGCGTGTGTGGCGGTGGCCCGGGCTCCTGCCCTGCACTGTCCCCATCCCGCTTGAGCACCCCCGTGGCCCTCGACGTGTGCTGCAGGCACTCAGTGCGCTCCAGCTCCACCAGACGCTGCCGGCTGCCGGCGTCCACAGCTGCGAGATGCCTGTGTGTACAAGGTGTCAGTCCATGGCTGCCCCCTGTTGAAAGCGGGAGTCCGCCCACCACCCCCACGGCAGCCCAGCGCTCTCTGTGCCGGGGCCCCTGCGGCCTCCCTGCTCCCCCGGCCCCGGCCCCCTGCATCAGCTGCTCTGCTTGCCAGCGGGGCTCCTGGAGGTCCGCCCCTCCACGCCCTCCTGCCCCCCACCTCAGCCTGCCTCTCACAAGCTCTCATGTCCTCCGGGCATCACCCTTTGGCTTCAAGGTCACAGGCCGAGTTTCCATCACCTGTTGGCTTTGCCTGTGGTGTCCTTCCTTCGGCTGAAATCCTTCCTGTGTTTGTGGGGCAGAGTCCGTCCATGTTCACCCTGTGGTCCTGTTCCTGGACCTGCCCCGTCCTCGTCAGTGCAGTGGGCCTGAGAGGAGGCCCTGGGGCAGGGGTTCAGACCCTAGCCCAGCCCCGTCGCCACCGCGTGCGGCCCACCACGCACCCGCTACCTCACCCCTCAGGGCCTCCGCTTCTTGGTCGGTAAAATTAGGCTGATGGGCGCCCCCGCCGCAGGGGGATGGTGGCGAGTAAGACTTCCTTTGCCGCCTTTGGAGCAGGCCTTGGGCAAGTGTTAGCTGTTGTTGAGTTGGCTGTGGTGTGAAGTCGGACCCCACTTAGGTTTCCTCCATAGAGCGGGCCCCGTCCCCCAAACCGCATATGAAACTACCCCTTCTCTCCTCCCTGCCTCGGGGTGCCTGTTTTAAGAAGCCCAGCTTCACGGAGGGGCAGCCCCCGGGTCATCCGGTTCACCGCGCAAGCGGGGTTGTGCAGTGGTCCCCAGCATCCAGTTCTAGAACACGTCCTTCACCCCAAACACTCCTCCGCTCCCTTTGTGGTCAGTCCCACCTGTGGCGCCCCCAGCCAGACAGTCGTGATCTACGCGCATCCCCATACACTCGTCTTTCCTGGACGTTTCACGCATGGAAGTCCCGCAACACGCAGCCTTTGCCGTCCGCCTTCTTTCTTCTAACCTGGTTTTGAGGGTCATCGCGTTGCCATCAAGGTCCAGGCCTGCGCTCCTCTCCTGGCCGAATGGTGCTCCACCGTGTGCGGAGACCACACTGTGTTCATTCGTCAGTGGGGGGACGTTTGGGTTGTCCCCAGTTCGGGACTATGTGAGCGCTTGTGTGTGAATTTTTGGGAGCACAGGCGCTTGTTCCTCTCGCATGGACACCTAGGAGTGGGATTGCTGGGTCACGTGGTGGCTGCAGGCCCCACTACCCACTTCCCCATGTGGCCGTGCCACCAGGAGCGAATGAGGCTTTCCTTCTGTCACGCGCTTGATGGCACTTGTCAGTGTCCTGTTGACCGCAGCCTCTCTGGTGGTGCGAGGGTCTCTCGCTGTGGCTTCACTTTGCGTTTCCCTGACAGCTGATGGTGTTGAATACTCTGTGTTCATTGGCCGCTCCTTTGTCTTTGTTTAAACCGTTTTATTGAGGGGGGCACCCAGGTGGTGCAGTCAGTTGAGCGTCTGACTCTTGATTTTGGCTCAGGTCAGGATCTCAGGGTCGTGGGATGGAGCCCCCGTATCAGGCTCCAGTAGAGAGTCTGCTTGAGTTTCTCTCTCCCTCCGCCCCTCCCCTGCTCCTTCTCTCACTCTCTCTCTCAAATCTTTTTTTTTTTTTAATTTTTAAATAAAATCTTTAAAAAAACAAACAGGGGCGCCTGGGTGGCTCAGTCGTTAAGCGTCTGCCTTCGGCTCGGGTCATGATCCCAGGGTCCTGGGATCGAGTCCACATCGGGCTCCCTGCTCTGCAGGAAGCCTGCTTCCCCCTCTCCCACTCCCCCTGCTTGTGTTCCTGCTCTCGCTGTGTCTCTGTCAAATAAATAAAAAATCTTAAAAAAAAGAATTAATTAATAAAACAAAAAAAGTTTTATTGAGCTATAATTCACATAGCCTACAATTCACCTGTTTAAGTATGTTAGGATGACTTTTGGTATATTACATTATTAAATTTTTTAATTGTGGTAAAATAAGTATAATGTAAAATTTGCTATTTTTCTTTTTTAAAGATTTTATTTATTTATTTGAGAGAGAGAGAGAGCACAAGGCAGGGAGCGGCAGAGGCAGGGGGAGAAGCAGGCTCCCCGCTGAGCAGGGTGCCCGACAGGGACCCTGGGATCATGACCTGAGCCGAAGGCAGACGCTCAGGCGACTGGGCCCCCCAGGCGCCCGGCATTTGCCGCTTCTGTCTGTACCATGCAGTGGTCCTAATTGCACTCACAGTGTGGCATGGCTACCACCACTGTCTATTTCCAGAACTTCTTCATCACCCCAAACAGAAGCGTTAAGCATTCGGGGATAACGCCCCACGACCCCTTCTCAACCTTGGGCACCGCTGATCTACATTTTGTGTCCGTGGACTTGCCTCTTGGTAGATATTTAATAGCAGTAGAATCAGACAGGGTCTGCGCTTTTGTGTCTGGCTTCTCTCACCCAGCATGTTGTCGGCTCTCGTCCCCATGGTAGTTTGTCCCTCGCTCCTTTTAGGGCCGAGTAACATCCCATTTACATCCGGGCCACACTCTGGTGGACGCTTGGGTTGTACCTTCCAGGTCCGTAGCTCATGCTGCTTTGTGGACGTGGTCGTGTCGGCCTCTCTTGGAGTGCCTGCTGTCACTGCCTCTGGGTGGGTAACCAGGAGTGGAACTGCCGGACTATCTGGTGATTCTAGGCTGAGCTTTTTGAGGAACCGCCGAACTGTTTTCCATAATGGTTGTACTATTTTACGTTCCTACCAGTAGCTTATAAGGGTTCTGGTCTCTTCACATCCTTACTGAGGCTTTGTGATCCCTCCCCCCATTTCTTTTAATAGCCGTCCTAGTGAGGATCTAGTTGTTTCAGCTTGCATCTCCCTAAAGACTAAGGATGTGGAGCACCTTTTCGTGTCCTTGTTGATCATCAGTACATCTTTTTTTTTAAAGATTTTTTTTAAAGGATTTTATTTATTTATTTATTTGACAGAGAGAGACACAGTGAGAGAGGGAACACAAGCAGGGGGACTGGGAGAGGGAGAAGCAGGCTTCCTGCAGAGCATGGAGCCCGATGTGGGGCTCGATCCTAGGACCCTGGGACCATGACCTGAGCAGAAGGCAGATGCCTAACAACTGAGCCACCCAGATGCCCCAGTCATCGGTACATCTTCTTTGCACAAATATCTGTTCACCTCCTTTGCCCATTTTTGAATGTGGTTGTTTGGGGGTGTTTTGTTGGTGGGTCATAAGACTTTTTTTTTTTTTAAGATTTTATTTACTCATTTGACAGAGAGAATAAGTAGGCAGAGCGGCAGGCAGAGGGAGAGGGAGAAGCAGACTCCCCACTGAGCAAGGAGCCCGACAGGGACCCTGAGATCA